CCCCCCCCCGGCGCTGCCCCCGATTGTCTCGCCGCAGGTTCTACGAGGAGCAAGCAGCTCAGAACGGCCTCTCCCTCCTCGATGACGACTCTCTGGCTGAAGCTGTGACCGGTCCTGATGGCACCTTCGATGGGAGCCGTACTGGCAGTCGGGGCGGCGGAGGAGGCGGAAGGCGCCGCAGCTTGGACGTCGAGCGCGAGCGTGCCGGGATGCAGGAGGCCGCCAGCACCACCGTGAGTGTTTTGGCAATGGATGTTTGCTACATAACGGCTAATCCATCAGACAGCCGACGGCCGCTGACTGGCTAGTCTGGTCGATTAGCCTTCACCCAACACTACTCAATCAAGCCGCTGACTGAGTAGTGTGAAGGACTGGCCTTGTTCTAACAGTCTCGCCGTTAGTAGTTGCGGCGGGGCTTCCGGTTTCGGTTCGATGAGGTCGGGATGTATTCCCCACGCACCCCCTTTTTTCGTCGCTTGAGTGTTGGGTCTCGATGACCGCTGCTTGAGATCGGCGTGTCACCGGATGTTGTTCGTTGCTGTGTGCCCTGCGGGGTTCGGGACTTGTTTTCAACCTCACGTCGTTGGAAAATTGCGGACTCATCCCCAGCGGTATTCGAGTACCGCCTTTGCCTCCATTGAGGATGGAAATATTTACTCCAGGGTATCGGTCAAGTTTCCGCCTCATCCTGGGCCCTGAGGAAGGATCGGCTGCCTCCAGTAAGTACAGGTTGCGTGAAACAAGTCAATCGACGAAGCAAGTACATAGATCTCCAGCTTCATTCTCGAGATACATGCCGCGCCTGGGACGGGCAGCGTATCCGTCAGTCTACCAGCAATCACAGCACTGCTGTACCAGCACACCTCCTCCTCTGCATTATTGTATTCGCAGGTGGCGTCTATGAAGAGGCTCCTGGAGGAGAAAAACGCCGCCCTGGAGCGGATGAAGCGCAAGCTGGACGAGGCCAGGGCTGCCGGGCGTGGTGCCGCCAACGCCGATCGCAGTGAGGCGGCCCGCCTGACGGACAGGCGAGGATCGGGCGGGGGGGGGTAGTCTGTGGCGGTGCCCTCTCTCGTGTGGTACTGTAGAGGATGGTGAACGGGATGATCCCGGGAGATAGAGTTTGGTAACGATCGGCGCCACGGACAGAGAGGGGGATAGGGAGGTTGATGTGTGGATTCTACGGATCGTTACGGAGACAGAGACAAGCACAAGCGTGGCCATGACTCGCGTCACGTTGGTATTTTCTAGCTGTCCACCTCGAGATAGCATCGCTACATCGATGTAGCCATCATCCACGAAACCCACACCCGGGTGCGCTACAGGTGGTTGGCTGCAAGAAGGATGACGACCCCGCCGACGACGCCACCCGGAATGACGTTGTCCACGCAGCGGTTGAACGACACAACGGTTAGCGCAACGTTATGGAGGTCGCCTGTTTTCGCCAGAATCGACGGGCACGGAGTGCTCAATTTCTCCCTTCAACGCTGACCCTGAGAGGGTGATTTTACCCTGTGCACAGTCCCGGTCTGGCGCCAACAACGTTGCGTCCGCTGTAGCCGCGTCACTAACCGCTGTGTCGTTCAACCGCTGCGCCGACAACCGGAGCTGTCATTCTATGTCCTTCCAACATCACGTCCGCTTCTGCTTCACACCACGAACAGCCCAAGCTTCTGTTATCTCCCGTGACTTGTTTATCCCCGTTCCCCGCGTCTGTCATTTTGAGCACGATTCAGAGGTGTATCGCCAGCAATTACTCAACTCTACGAACGACTCTTGTGTACCCCAACTCGATCTGGAACTACCATCATCGCAATCCTACCTAACTCTTTCCCCCAATCCGGTAAACGGTACTTGTTTCTGTTCCCAATAATATGGTACGGAATACCACTTGGCGAAAAGGATTTACCGCGAGAACGAGGATTCTTTGGGGCAGTTACGGGTTGCGCTGAGGCAGCTCGGAGCGGCCGGCGGTCTGACGGGAGAGGGCACCGCCATGAACAGCCGCCTCATCGACCAGCTTGAGGAGGTACGTAAGCGGCGCAACTTGTGCCGGTTGGGCTATGTACAGGCAAACACACCGTCACATGCCCCCCCCCCCCCCCCCCCCCCCCCCCCCCCCCCCCCCCCCCCCCCCCCCCCCCCCCCCCCCCCCCCCCCCCCCCCCCCCCCCCCCCCCCCCCCCCCCCCCCCCCCCCCCCCCCCCCCCCCCCCCCCCCCCCCCCCCCCCCCCCCCCCCCCCCCCCCCCCCCCCCCCCCCCCCCCCCCCCCCCCCCCCCCCCCCCCCCCCCCCCCCCCCCCCCCCCCCCCCCCCCCCCCCCCCCCCCCCCCCCCCCCCCCCCCCCCCCCCCCCCCCCCCCCCCCCCCCCCCCCCCCCCCCCCCCCCCCCCCCCCCCCCCCCCCCCCCCCCCCCCCCCCCCCCCCCCCCCCCCCCCCCCCCCCCCCCCCCCCCCCCCCCCCCCCCCCCCCCCCCCCCCCCCCCCCCCCCCCCCCCCCCCCCCCCCCCCCCCCCCCCCCCCCCCCCCCCCCCCCCCCCCCCCCCCCCCCCCCCCCCCCCCCCCCCCCCCCCCCCCCCCCCCCCCCCCCCCCCCCCCCCCCCCCCCCCCCCCCCCCCCCCCCCCCCCCCCCCCCCCCCCCCCCCCCCCCCCCCCCTTCTGTTCTCGTTCTCACCTGCATGCGAACCGGTGGGAATCAATTCGTCATTGCTGCTGCTTCCCAAAAGGTGTCCGGCTTGTTGGGAGAGAAGGACGAGACCATCCGGCAGCTGGAGCTCAAGCTGAGCACGGCTTGCAACCAGCGGGAGCGTGCGGAGGCTCGCTGCGGCGAGGCCCTGGAGGAGAACGCCAAGATGCGCTCAGACCTCGCAACGCTGGCCGCCCAGGTGCCACGCCGTGGTCGAGCTTTTACCACCCTGCCTCCTTCCTTGGTTGCTTGTCGTAGAAAACCAAAAATCTCCAGAACAACGCCTACTTGCAAACGTTAAGAACGACATCTCCTTCCAATACTTGAAGAATATTGCCTCCTTGCAATCTTCAAGCCTCCTTGCAAAAATAATCTAGAATAACGCCCTTCTTGAAGAACCACTCCTCCTTGAAAAACCTGAAGGTGAACGCATGCAGACATTGGATGACACTCTCCGAACAACTTCGTTTTCGCCCCCCCCCCTCCGGCGTGAGATCCAAAATGGATCGGACGGTGGAGGGGGGGGGGGGGTT